AAAGTGAGATCCACTCTCCCAACCTCCGAACACAGAGACCCGAAAGGACACGAGTTGCACCGGGGTGGCGTTTACATACTGGCTCAGGTAAGAGCGAAGAAAGAGCGTGTGTTTATGAGGGCTTGGTTCTCCATTCAAGAAGCTATCAACGAATAACAAAATTGATTCTAGTTTCCAACCGCTTGGAGCCAGAGCACGCCAGAACCGCAGAGCTCTGAGTTCCAAAGGCAACTGGACGCTGAACTCGTAAGATGAGCAGGAAAGCCTGATTCAAACTGACACATCACTTTAGTTGGGGGTGCTTAACCGATGAACCGGAATACCAAATTAGCCGGCAAACGCAGAAACACTAACTGTTACAATGGTAAACATGGCGCATCGCAACAAGTAGGTCAATCTCGAGAGGAGTAGACCACGACATAAGGGGTCGCACTTGAAGTCGAAGAGGAAATTGCTAAAAATTTAGGGCGTAGGGATAACAAGTCGACTCGAAGTAACATATACAACAACGTAACAAAGATAACCAACGGACCAATACATTCACGAAATACGCTGTCCCTTAATGGCCATTGATTTTGGAAGTAACTGATGGTCTTAAAACGCACGCATCTACCCAACCATGCACTTACGAGGTCTCATCGAGTGGTGACGCAACTTTTGCAAGTCGCCTTTTAGGTGTAGCGAACTGGTCAACAGCCACCTGATTAGCAAGCAATGAAGTCACCAGAGCTGCCAATATTTCAGAACATTACCAAGGAAACCTCCAAATATGTATGGTATATGTCTCTAGATTGGCTGGCCGATTCCATCTTACAGTCAAATCGACTGAGTTTTTTCTTTATCTGCGCGAAGTTATGCGCTCATTTTTTCTCTGGCTTTGCTGAGTGTCTCATTTGTCTTCCTAACTGTTGCTGTTTTAAGTTGCTTACACAGTTTTCTGACCGTCGGCTTCGCCGAATATTAATATTACATTGTCGCTTTCCGCCTTTGAAATTTTGGTTGTTGGATCTCCTACCAAAGTTGAGACTTTTTGCTGCCAGAAGGGACTGTAGGTGAAACGGTTTGGTTGCTGCTGCTGCCTGGTACTTGCAGTTATTAACCTGGTCCTGTGATCTTATCATGGTTGCACCGGAGGGCCGTGCACCCTTCTGGTACCCTGTTTCCGGCATCGTCCATAGGGGTCGTGCATAGTATGGTTTAGCTGTTTTTGGAAATGTTCATTCTCGTTGANCGTGTTTTATGATATCTTTCCGGGCTTCGGAGACCGATTCATAGTGTTTGGCAATCGCTAAGGGATGGTATCAGATTCCTAACTTTTACAAATGGAGTCCATTTTTAGATGACGTATCCGTTCCACAACTTAATTGCAGACGTTGTATGATAAGGTCTGTTTAGTGTATGCACTCAAGTTGTAGTGTACGATGTCTGCCAGTTTGATTAGTCTATACATAAATATTGGGATGGTCAGCCTTGCTTAATGCACTTCGGCTCATTGGCTTTCTTGCTGTCTTCTGTCCACGCAACTTGTGAATTCCTACCTTCGGATAACAATTGTCCCATGGTGCGTCCATAGCGTGCATACTACGAAATCGATGCAATATTGACGGATCTAACCCAAACGTTTGGAACAGTTTTGAGTGCATTGTCAAAGATATACGACAAGTCACGGGCGTCGACTATTTGCGAGCGGTCCTAGGTTGGACGAGTGAGGTTTTGCCTCCCTTTTGCAGCAACGACGATGAAACCTGACGTCCCCGGTCCCAAAGACGCGATTTCATTCACTTTAAGAGTATACGTACTAAACTCAACAGGAATGCTTAAGAGATGCATGTATCCTGTTGGCTGGTGCAGCAATCAGACAGCGCACTGAAGATGTCTCCTCGAATGGTGACGAAACGTTTGCAAATCAATTGCCAGGCTCGGCGAACAGATCAACAGCCACCTGATCAATTACCAACCAATACACTCGAGCTACCAATATTCCAAAACATTACCGGTTGGAAGAGTTTCACAACGTAATTTTGTTCCTGATCGTTCTGGTGACTTGAGATAACTTTCGCAAGAAGCAAACCGAACAGGATCAAGTAGGAAGACAAAGACGCACCAACTGTTGCCAACATTGGAACAGTCAGTAACCTCTTTGCTACACCGATTAATTAAATTTGTAAAGGGGCATGTGGTTTTCACGGGAGTGAAAGAAACGTTTTTTCGCTATTGCTCAGCCTCATCCTGATGGTGGACAGCATGGGCCGTCGTCTTTGATGGCATACACTGTTCTGAATAAACTGCGGAAGCTTCTGCGTCGCCCCTCAGTGCCCCTGCTGTGGATTATTTCGTCTCGATTAAAGAGTAACGTATGACTCTAATTCGGGGCGTGTAGTACAACAATATCGAGTCTCCTCTGTTACTTCCACCATCCTTGACGGGATAGAATATCAGCAACCTCACTCACCGTGTGGAGTCTATGGGCCTCCGAATTCCCACTGAAGTAGGCGACAGAGCGGGCTAAAGCATTCCTCTCAGGTTTTGGTCCAGTGGGTGGGTGAACCCCACTTCTAACGCCCATGCTGTCCATGAGCCCATTGGATCTATTAACCAATAAGCGCCCAGCTTGATAAGTGAGTCGAGTCGGACGCTGACTTCGGATTTTGCACTGCCGCTGCTTGCTCATTTTTGGCGAAAATGTGGTCATCTACAGGTTAGCCTATACTTAGCTGTTCATCAGTGCTTTAGCCTATGGGGGAATGTTGGTAAATGCTGACTATGGTGGAGGTTATATGGCTTCAGCAGCAGGGGCTTCTATCTCCAAGGTTTCGTCTGTGCACATGCGCTTATGTAATATTCAATCTTCCAGAAGGCATCCAATCAAGGCAGCACAATACCGTGTACATGTGCGGAAATATTAGCTGCGACACAGGAAGGTGACAGGTTTATTTCTCCACTGGGTCTTGAGTTTTCACAGGTACTTCTGTGTACATGCGTTAACGCATTGATAGGTCACTCTCTTAGGTGTCGTTCGCTCAGTGAATGAGTCAGCCACTCGCATTGAGTATGAAATAGATGATTATACCGGTCCGTTTGTGCCCGTCAAAATGTTTGTTGAAGATCAGGCATGTCCATGTACTGCCAATTACTGTTTCTCCAGGATTCCTTACCCGCTGGACAACAGTCTCGCCCGTTTCGTGAGCTCTCGTATGTCCGCGTTCACGGCCATGTACGAAATTTCCAAGGTGCCAAGCAGATAATCGCATTTCGAGTAAGTGATTACATTGAACATATACTGTTTGCTACTTAAGACCAGTAAAGTCGAATTCAGTTTGGGAGCAACCTGTCTGTTTAGTGATCTAGGTGGCCAGTTTATTTCCGTGTGTCATTCTTCAGTTTTTCTGCCCTCCGTTTTACTCTACTAGAGGACGCGCAGGGTTATATTCGCCGGACAGCATGTATCCTGTTTCAAGTCCATAAGTGTCTCGCGATAGTCCTCTAACAAGCGGGTGTGGCTCGCTATAAATCATCTTCACGTTTCCCTCTATTCTGTCATTCCTTCGATTGCTACAAAATACTGATAGTGGTTGCTCGGCTGTAATGCCGTTTCTTCGCCTGGTTACCATGCCACCTAAAGGAAGCACGAGGGCAGAGATACTATCGGTTACCGTCAGGAAGAGACTAAGCTTTTAAGTGGTTTGACAGTATTTTGCCACCGTGACTGATTGGGCTATACTGGAAAGGTATCCAGGTGACACTCGGAGAGTCTTTCATCCCAGGTCGTCAAGTGGTTACGGGTCTGTCCAACAGTCTCCAGGGCCTCCAGGTCGGCGGCTGGCACATGTGTGGCCAATTGTTCTCTAAAAACGGTAATGCAGTTGCATTTCCCGTCGAGTAATGCTGCCTTGCGGTCAGTCTTTTGAACCAATGGCTTTGGTCGAGGACCATAATCGTCCTGCTAGATGGTTCTGGGCGCCCTGGCAGTATCCCAGCCCACACGTACAACCATGTTGCTAACAACTAACAATTCTGTCATGCCACATCGGCAGTCGCGTGGGTCGCCTTCCTGCATACAGCACGGTGAATAAGCAACAAACTGCCGCTGACGCATCTCTTCTTTCTCTTTTGCATACGTTTTCTTTCTCCCATGCACCAATGGCTTTCTCCTTGTAGGCCCACCGTTCATCCTGCACCGGTTTTGGCAACGTCCACGATATAGGTGTAGGTATGGTATACGAACCACGCCTATATAAGAGTAGCCTTTTTTCTTATTATTTGACGGTTGTGAGTCTGCACAATCGACTCTAAGTGAAATTTGGGGGGCGCTTCTTTTTTGTCATATGCTTTGAAATACTGTTTCACGATTTTCCTTCCTCCCACGTCTTTCTGAAACTGCGAAGGGAGCAACTTGGATTTATCAACCGGTCTACTTATCTTGGTTGTTGGATAATCTGTGACTCTGCTGTGAGAGACTGTCAACGTGCGAACAGCGTTTGCGAATTCATTTTTCCTGAAGCTTACTGACCGTGCTTACGGGGCAACTGTATGGACAGTCTTAATTCGGTCTTGAAAATTTGCCTTTCCGGACTAGGGACCTGAGACTTCTTCAGACGTTTAATCTTGATGCCTCCACAACGCAGTAGATGTGAGCTGTGTACTTCATATTCGTGGGCTTTTGGTAATCGAGCGCTTGGTGACGAATGATAGTCACTAGCCAATGAGACTCATCAGACACATGCTCAACCGCGCATTTTTTCTCTTCACTGCTGTTAACCGAATGGTTCGTGAGGACTAGTTATAGCGCGTCAACTCAGAGCGCATATGGCCAATTTTTGCACCTAACTGCATAGGGCCCACGCGGTCCCCGTGTGTGGCTATAACAGGAAACAGCTCACAGTCGGTCTCAGAAAATAGCATGCTGTCACTTCTTCGTCTGACCGCCGGTTAAAGGTTTATTTGTCGCTCTCTGCTGGATTCCTGTTAGATGCAGCCTCGCTAATAGCGTCTTACTTTGATATAATGCTCAAGTGTGTTTATCCAATGTGTTTGGACACCTTGGCATCGGTCGTTTTCAATAGAGACATCATACTGTTTCTAGTTACTCCTAATCCCTCCCATTTTGCTTGAATTTCCACTGGGGCATCCTTTCTTTATAATTACATTATAGTTACTGTTGTTTCCGGCGATAATGATGGTCTACCGATGGCCTCACTAATGATTACATGGTGCCAGCTTATCTGTATGGTTAGACAGCTTAGTCCGCAGATATTTGTATGGGTCCTCGGTTTTACACCTTAACTGCGTTCACCTGACTGGCGAGATCGGCAGTTCGATAGTGCTTAAACGTGTATGTGGCTTCGCCCAAACATGCCTAATAACCATTCAGCAGAAAGTGTGCAATCGAATGATCGACTACCACACCGGAAGCCCCGTCAAGGTAAAAACAAGTCTGTGATGGTCAGCTGATGATATGTAGACGCTCTGTAAAACACTAATCCCACCACTCAGCGATATTGGCTGATATAATCTTTTGGGTGGGCGACAGTGCTAAGGTTCTCATGATGCATTCGCTTTGAAGTACGATGGGGGTGTTGCAGCCAGTGATTGGTATTTATGACCTGTTCAGGACACCAGTTCACCCTTATCTCATGTTTCAGATCCCAGGTTTCGTCCTGGGTTGCTCAGTTTAGCAGTAAGACGGACCAACTGCACCTCCTAACCCTCACACTACCGATAATTGTGATAATTCTGAAGGTCTGACCATTTCATTGGCGTTGAATCAGTTTGCCTTGAACTGCTGCTTCAACGCGTAGCCACTCGGGTATTGTAGCCGCTGTCGTTGATGGATGAAAACTTGCAGTTCTGGATGCACGTGGTTTATGGCTAGCGCAGTTCGGAATGTGCATCTTGTATTCAGACTAATGGGTGCATGAGACTGTGCGGTTTTTGCAGAAATGCATGACATGGATGCTGTCTCTTTTCTCATTCCTGTGATTTAAGTGTCTTGAAAATCATGAAAGTTTTGATGCAATTAAACTCGTTAATCCCAAACTTAGGGTTGCTTTCTGAATTCCCCGTGGGCTCATCAGTGAGCCGCCGCACTTTGCTAACCCGCCTAAGGGACACTGCACAGCCTGACAATACTTAATCTTTCCTAACACCTAAGGCACGTGGCAAACATATCCTCCTTTATTACCATTGATTATTTGCTCTACTGCGTCAACCTCTTGTTGGTTCACTATAGCTTGCTGACAAGGACGTTTTAAGGCTTACGTTTATGTGACGCACACCGACGCGGACCTGTCACTGACCGCAAGGTAGTGGTTGACGCGACCGCAGTAAAGTTTGTAGAAATAAGTTTGGACGTCGAAATATTTGCTATCTTCTCGTATCTTTCCTTTATTGCGGGCTTCGCAGTGTTGCCGACGAACCATCAATTTAGGGTACGCTGAAAACTGTTTTCTGGCGAATATAAAAGGAAGTGGAGGCGCTTTTTCTTAATCACGGTTTGTTCTTATTGATATGCGTAAAACTGCACGCCACTCAGCTCAATTTTCACTACCCAAATCCCAAGTTGGAAAGAATACTACGTCGCCGTCTGCACAGATCTTATCACGGGTCGTCAACATGACCAGTTTTAATAGGTAGTACCTTACCGCAAGACTCAGGTGTAGTAAAGAACGACATAACAGAGGTGATTACGATTATCCATTTATTAGCTCTGTTCCTTCCCCGCATCAGGTGCTTCCGGTAACCGATATGAACGAACTAACAACTCACATAATGGAGGTAATCTACACCCGGATGCTGAACACCAAGGCCAAGTTGGATGAGGCCTCTGGTGTTAACCTGTCAAAGGTCAACTCCAGTGCGACCAATTTCGGTGGAAATGTCGCTAACGGCCTGACTGCTCTGCAGAATCAAATTCTGACGATTGTAAGGGCTTTCGTTGGAGAACGCGGTATCCCGGTTACACAGCTGAGTGAAAAGCTCCGTGGTATCCCGGAGAGGCAAATCAGGTATAGACGCAACTTATTCTTCCACTAGTTGCTTTTCTCACTTCACCCTGTCAGCGTATACTGTTTACAAAAGAGGAATTCCATTTTTGATAGGCGTTTTTTTATTTTTCGCAGGCTATCGAAGGTGCACATAGACTGAAAGAGGAATTCCATTTTTGATAGGCGTTTTTTTATTTTTCGCAGGCTATCGAAGGTGCACATAGACTGTCTTCCGTTCCGTGTACACACACAATAGATTATCGTGGTTCCCCTTGGGATCCCTTTTGTTATTCACTAAAAATCTATGGTTACTATTCGGGCTTAAAGTGAATTTTGTCGTATAGGATTACGTTGAAAAGCTGATTACGTTGCTGAAAAGCCCAGAAACCGCAGTTGTTTCGTCCTTGTTGGAAGTCCTCATAACAATGCTCTTTCTCAGGAGAATTCGCCTCTGAGGAGGCACACGGGTGCAACTCATCATAGCCTCTTGAAGAAACGAATTTCCAAGAACCGAAGTGGTGACATCTTCTAGCTATGGAAATCACCTGCTTTCATCATCATCCTCGACAGGATGACATAAGTGTTCAGCACTGACAATGATGATGATGGTGATGTTCAACACCTATGCTTCGCGTCAAGGTATGTTCGGGACCGGAGGGACTATTCTTCTGAGATTTAAGCAGTGCCACATTTCGGTCCGATACCCAATGCTTCAAGAGCGGAGGCCATAGATGAAACGCTGTTAATCCAGATTTATTAATTTCTCGTGATATTGAGGTTTGTGACATGATGCACAGTATTTTGACGTCTGACAGCTGTCCTTGGACGTGGACCTGATTTAGCTAACAGTCCAACCCAGGATTCCCACAGCAGAACACGGATCGAGCTCCGAATAGTTACTATTGCTTCCATCATTATGTTACGCTGTCTTCATGGCAGTTTATTTGTTTCATGGTTCTCGTTCGCGTTTGGGTAGATGACGCGAAAGTTGCCTTATGCTGTTGAGTTTAGAAAACAGGATCTGATGAGCATCCTACATGTGTTCTCCGAGTGTTCTCCGTGCTTTATTTGGACAGTATAACAGCTAGGCACCGAAAGGGTGTTACAGCCGAACGATTATTTCATCACCGTCTTCATCGCGTTGCCCAGAATGTAGCAGTTATGGATACGTAAGTGGTGAACTGACTTCAGGCGAAGTGAATGTTCCATCAGATAATCACGAAAGCTAATTGTAACACCAGGGTCCAAATGGAATTCATAGTCTCATGCAGAAGCAGGATACGGTTCCTACCAGTCACCTGCGAGAATGCCCCCCATCAGAGATATTTCGGTATTCTCTGACTGGTTATCCGAAAGCGCTAATATACCGCACCTCTGACAGATCTTAAGAAGCTTCAAACCAGCAACTTTCTTCACAAGAGTTGCCCACCCTGTTCCTCAACTACTGATAGTGCGGCATCATTCTTGGCCTTTTGCTTTTGTGTACGGTATATCCCTGCATACCCTAACCGTGTCTTTATCCTGACAGATTCATTGGGTCATGGCTATTGGCCTTTGTGTCCAAAAGTCTTAGGTGATGAAGATATTTTGGCTTCTCAGCGGTCTTCTGTGTGTTTCTTGCTCTACTTCTGAATAGCTTCTCTATCTCCTGAATTCATTTTCTGCCCTTTTAGGGAAAACCTGGACTTTCTCAGTGGTGAAGGCTACGTGTATTCAACCGTGGATGATGATCATTTCAGAGCGACAGAACCCTAACTCCACCACACGGACGGTTTCCTTCTGTATTCGAACATGCATTTGCTCGTACCCACCATTCTTCTGCTCACAGAACCCCTTTCTGATTGTCACGCCGATGTTTTTCCAAGAATTCATATTTTTGTATGTTTTCCAAAGTTAGACACGGATGGGTCAGGTAGGTGAGAGGGGGTCAGATGTTCTCAGCTCTCAACCTCATTATTCGATGTTGTTTCCTCGTGCGACTCCGTCCTGCTGGTTGTTCCATGGACACCAAGCAATTGACCAGTTAATCAAAGAAGTTGGGTAGGGGTGTGACCTTTCTCGCTGCTAAGTCTATCTGGGCGTAAGCTGTCTAGCTCATGTGACCGTCACTGGTTCGGCGTTTGAAACGGTTGGCGTCTCCATTGGTGACGCAAAAGTATTTTCGTTTGTGTTTACCATTAAATGAGATTTCATTTTGCAGCACTTTTCCATCTAGCCATATCAGCAAACATTGTGATCGCAAAAAGTTCCTTGCGGCCGTGTGAAAGGATTTCGAGCTATCGGAGGAGTAGAACGTTTAGCTGCTACGGATCGTTAATTCACGATGAAAATGTTTGTGCAGCTGATATATAAGATGAAACTAACCGACGTTCCGACCACTCGGATTGGGCCTCATCAAGCAACAACTAACTGACATTAAAACACTATCAATCTGTGGCTGGCCAGCATACTCTCAAGTGCACCGTACTTGGTGTGGAAGTGATGTGACCTGCCGGTTGCTCGCGGCTGTGTTACACTGCGCATGCTTCCCACTTGACCTTTGGGACGAGTTTGATTACGCATCATCATCATCATCATCAATGACAGCAACATCAGTGTTGGCACTGATGCTTCACTGCCGTACAATCATACGCGTCACGTCATGTCGTGCTTGGTGAGTTAGGCCAGACCAAATCGCAGATAACGCAACACTGTCAGGCCTGTTAACGCACGAACTCGTGATTGAGCACTTTTACGCATATACGTTTAGTTTTTATTGCAGGTTTTCAAAGTTGACCTGACGGTCCTCGGCAAGCACGTGAAGTGCTTCAGTTTGTTCAGTTCGCTCGCGTTTCTCGGAGCTGTCCGAGAGTGTCGTTTTTGTCTGTCGATTCGAACCTTCGATTGTCTGGTGGCTTGTCTAATGTAAACACAATCAGTCGGTGTAGTCACTCTTGTAGGCACAACTGAAATGGGTCTTTAGCGCGAACCAGTTGTCTCTGCGGTCTGTAGTCTATCTGGGGAATGATGTGCATGTCGAAGGTGGATGGTACGCAGCATGCGCTTTCAGGTGTGTGCTGCCGTTAAAGAATCCGCATCTTGTCAGTTGGTTCAACCCTCCCTCTGACTGCTGTATCTGAGTTATTTGGCTGAAGCGTATTTTTGCTAAAACCTGTTAAGTATCACTTGTTTCTTAGTGTTCGCTCACTACGGGTAGTTTCGCTTCCAGGTCATTACGATCATTACATTCTTTGGCGAGCTATCACAGGTTGCGCATTCATTAGTTTTTGAGCCACTAAAAGCCATCCAAAGAAGATTATTGATCCAGTTTGGCCCAACGTGCGATGGCAATAGCCGATCAGAATTCAACAGGCTCATTTATAATCCTTCTTCAGGTCGTTGTCCCTCAACCGACATATTGAGGTCGCACGCCGTCAGTTCCTTGGTTTGGGGTGGTAGATGATGGATCCCAAACGATTTCGAATGTCTAAATTCTGCACATACAGGAACACCTATGCGTTTGTATAATACATTCATAAGCATTTTACAAACAGTACCACATCGCTTCTTGATTTTACTCAAAAGGCACATCCTATGCTCGAGAGACTAATATCACATCGGTGACGCTTGGCCAACCGTTTAAAATCGATCACACTCATTTTAGCCGAGGTTATACCTAAAATTTTATACTATATTTGCACTTTTAGCAGATCCAGTTCCCGAGGAAAATATTCACGGCTCCAGTTACCACTGGCTTTTGTAGGAGCTGGACTAGTTGACACAGTTTCCCAGTCCTGTACGCATAAGGTATCAAAATGGTATGTTGTTACAGTAGATTCTCAGCAAAAGTGAAGGCGTGAGATGCAAGCTCGTTGGTTTGAAGGATCTAAACAATCGTGCGCAGTTGAGTGGGCTGTTCGAACTCGAAACGGTACTGTCAAGTCAGTCGATTCACAACTCTTTTTGGGTTCTCATTGATAGTCGAACTTGATTACAAGCCAAAATGATTCTGTTCCACATGTATCCTATGAGGTCGATGGAATAGTATCGACAATCCTCTATGTGTACCATAGAGCGCCCTTTCAGGGAATTTGTCAAAACACAGATTCATGTGAAACAGCTTTTCGATCGCGTCTCGATCTCTCCACGAAACCGTTCGTATTACTTAAACTTGACGTGGCTGAAGTCGTCTTGAGTTTAGCATCCGCAGCGAAATAGATCTTAACAGCTTCTCGGCTTACAAACTGCTATGCCAAACTCGTAACATTTCCAACAGTCTGCAGGAAATTCGTATTTGAATGAGGAAAGAGAGGTCTTTCGTATATGTGCTGTTAATTCTAGAATGCATTAGAACACAAACCGAATAAGTAGGTAGCTATAAGCAATTATTTGCCACTTTCAATACCCAGAGAAAGCTTTTGCCAGCTTGTCAACATCCACTTATACCTCGACATCTTGTTCTGAACTTCTGAGCTAATGTGCTCCCCCGAGTTAATTCTCTGTTCTAGTGATGAAAATTGTTTGACCAAATGTCTTGAAATCACGGTCTCCATTTGGGGAGGAGGTATTGGTGTTACAGCGGTAAAATTCTCAGCACTGCTTTGTCCGAAATAGGAAAGTGCTAGTAATCGGATATCACCCTTCTATGGGGATCTTTTATCGAAAGGCTTCGTTGTGTACAAGGCTTCTCCCAGAAGACACCAGAAAGTGGGGCACTATAGCAACCTCATTACTGTAAACTAGAATCGAGTAAATTAGCTGAAGCCCGGTCTAGGAAAGTCTCGTTCGTGTATTTGTCACGAGATATGTGGGTAATTAAACTTACGACCTCCCTCCAGATGACTGAGCATTTGTCGCTTACGTGGTCAAGCACAAGCCA